TAGAAACTCTCAATCATTGTCTCAACAAACTTCGGATCTAATCCCTTATATTTTGAAAAATGATACCTTAAAGTTGCATTTAACTGAAATGGAGAGGAATTTAGCCCAAATACCACTCGACAGAACCTATGAACCTCACTTTCGAACTTTCCACGCATTTTCCACGTCTTTTAACCACAAAAATCGCAAACAATCCCCATCAGCTTTATCAACTTCTATATTTAAAAATGCTTTTTCAATATCGGCAATCATGGCTGCTCTCTTTTGTCTAAAATGTACTAAAATGTCTAAAAGCAACGGGTCCAATGAAGGTCCTACATGTAAACATTCATTTATATAGACGCGCTCTTTTTACCCCCGCTCTTCGCAGAGGCATCGTAGACAATGCGCAGCTTCGTCGTTACTGCGTCCTTTCGCACCACGGCCAGATGTGATAAATAATGCACCTATTCTGCAATTTCTAGTTTCGCGACCTAACCTTTTCAATAACGCCCGAACTTAGTTGCTGTTTTATAATTGCGTCATACTAATTCAAAAGCGCAGGGTCATGCTTAAGCTTCCTAACTTGACCTTTCAGTCGCGATATACACATTTCGTAATTACTTGTCAAGTTGTCGTGACTCTCTTTCCAAGGCAATTTTACTGAATATCTACCTTCGCTGAAGGAAATCGACAAATTCCTCGTGCACCTCATCAACTGGTTGTACACCTAGCGTTTTTAAATCCCTTAATCTTTGAGCATCACATGCAAGACTGCAAGAGGCTCATCCTTTGCTACAAAATTCACATGCGTTACACCCGCGACATGCATGTAGTGCTGCACTGCTGCTCGAATCAAATTGTAGTGGCCCAGAGTCCCAGACAATGTCCAACCTAGCACGGTCTTCACAGCAACGGGGTCGGCCGGCTCGCCACGAATAGTAACCTCAGTTTGAAATTGCCATAAGTAATCTGCCCCAATTAAAATATCTATATCTAGCTCATCTGCCTGCCTGTGAACATCCGAGAACCAAATGTTCTTCAGATGTAGATTGTTTCGTCGGAACCAAGACGACCGGTTAGCACAATTTTAGAATAAGCACATGTCCAAGGAAAACTCGCAAATCGTATTATAAAAAATATTAAACAATTCGATCTCGAATTAGAACAAATTAATACAAAGAATATTAAAAAAAAAACATGCATATGTAGTTCCGATCAAGTTCGCACGTGTGATCTAAATTACAGGGGCGGATCTAGGGGTGATCAGAGCGATCACGCGACTAAGGTAAAAATTGCGAAGAAAAGTGTTTGAATGAAGTAGCAGTCCAGTTGCTAACACGTGCAGTGTATTGAGCTGATCGGGCACTGGTGATGTTTGGCAGTCCAGTTGTTAAAAGAGTTCCGTGACCAGGCCTTCAAGCACGAGCGCGCAGAAAAGCGGTCTTATGCATGAATTTTGCTCGCTTCGTCATCAAATCCCAGTCATCTGATTGGCTGTCTCTCTTTTTGCGCGATCTGTGGGGAGTTCTGATCGGTGAAGCTATCAGGGGCTCGAATTGGGCTATTCAATTGGCTAATTCAAAATCTATCTCAATTCTCATTGGTTGTATTTTTCTGATCGATCAGTGTGATCTGACCTTGACCTGAGAGCGTGCAAACCGCAAGGTTCCTTTTTTCCTTGACCTTTCTGATTGACGTCATCGTCGTTTTGACAGCAACGAAAACTCGAACGATTATTAAACTCAAAAGAAAAATTTTATTATCAAAACTATTTATTAATCATGTCAGATCTTTACAAAGCCGTGAGATGTGCTTTGGAGAAAGACGATCGGCAATATCTTAAAACTATCGAGGCCGATCTGAGGAAGCGAATAGACGCCGCAGCAAAGCGTTCAACTGAGCAATTATTAAACGAACTGAAAAAAACCAGCTTCTGCCTCATGAGAAATTTTGCTGCGAAATTGTACATCCCGGCGTCTGTTCGGCAGACAACAAAGAAGTTTTGTACAGCCTTAAGGTAAACATAACAACATTTTACAAAGATTTCGTGCATTTGTTTATTGGTGATTGTGTAATTTGTGTTAGAACTGTCAAGCTGCACAAGCTATAAAGTAGAAATTTACACGTTGCACGTTGAAATTTACATAGGATTTCGCTTTAATTTGCATATAACTGCGGCGTATGCATACGCTTCAAGAAGAATCGAGCCATCGAGGAGTGTAATAATGTTTTATCACTATTATGTGAACTTCGTGTGTACCTAATACCTTCTGTGAAATGTACAACCCGATGTGTTAGGGTAAAGCTTAGAGCACTAAACTGTGTTTTAATTTCAAAAATAATTATTCAAAACACATAGCAGTAAAGCATACAAGTGGCCATATTTTCTGATTACATTTTAAACAATGAACACAAGTTTATTATATAATAATTCTATAATTATATTGCCAATTATTCATACTTAATGGTTCATGAAAGTGGAACATGATGTTTTTGCTATCAAGCTATCAATTACTAGGTTAATATTTATTCATCTTTACCTAAGTGACTGACTAAGATATACCTAAGTGTAATAAAAAAGTTTCATTCATGCCCTAGTCTCTCTTAGATCTGAAACTACTGGGAACTGCTTGTATATATAAGCTCTGTGTCCTTAGTAGAAGTGGGTAACAATAGCTTAATGGAGCTATTGAGAATTTTGACCTCCATAGAGCTCTTCCTTAATGCTGATTTTTATTCTCAGCACCCTTGTTTTTCTTCTGCTGTGGAAGAGCATGATCAATACTTCAGCAAAAGTATCAATAACCTTTTATCAATGTCTGTTTCTAAGGGATATGTTTATAGATACTGGTTGTACGAAATATGACTTGGTTAGACAGGAAGCTATATATACTTAATTGCAGTGAGAAGAAATGGTCATCCTTTCTCTGTATAATGGGTCTGTATTTAATGGGCTTCAATTTTAAATAGGAATACTTTCACCTATTAATTATCCTGATTGTGAGGAACAAAGAAGTAAATTGCTATTTAATTGCATGATTCAACCACACTTAACTCCAAAGAAAGGTTTGGATGATCTTCATCATATTTTGTTGTGTTGTAAATGTAAGAAACACCAAAATATTCAATCGAACTAGCATATTTGTGGTTGCACCTATGTAAATTTAATCAAGTATGGTTACTTGCAATATGTAAAGCATCATTGCTACTAAATTCACCAATTTCTACAGCAGTGCAAAGATTTGAAGGCGGGTGCTGGGCTACTGCTGAGGCATAAAAACAATCAGCATGTGCTCTTATGGAAAATGCCTGTCTATGTCAGAATCACACAATGTCTTTGTAGTAGTATCATGCTTTTCCTAGGCATGCTGATGAGCCCTGATATTTGGCGAAACATTCACATTGCATCTGCACCCCCCCCCGACGAATGCGACGTCTCCCCCCCCCGAATTTCTTGTTTGAAACTTTTTGACTAAGGTACGAAAAATCCTAGATCCGCCCCTGCTAAATTACCCCTAATAATATTACCTAAACAACAATATAAAATCAATAGCTTACTTCTGTGGCGAGGTCCTCTAAACCACGGAGGAACAGGTTAGCCCGTCGTAGTCTTTCACACAGATACTTCACATACATACATTTACACATTTTCCGTCTCGCTTCTCATATTTGCCTTTCTCACTAATGATATGCTGATGTTATTGCATGCCCTATATGACGTCATGATCAAAGTTCATGTCAAGCCTACTCACATGTCCATCATGCTTAGAGAAGCTGTTGATCCATGGATACCCGTATTTGTACTTTTCAACTTCAACATGCACGTTAGAGATCCGTGAAATTTCGGGTACAACAAAGGCTTCAATTCGAATGGATTTTGCTACCCCCGTGTGAAGCAAATCTATGGAAACAACCTCATGCAACCGCGATCCGCTGGACTGATTTCCGAATGTGTTCAACGCGAACCACTCTTTCCTAACTAACTGACGTTTCGCTGACTTAGCAATCCTACATGTTACGAATGTTTTTTGGCTTGCCGAATCGAAAAGAAACCTAACTCTAGCCTCCCCCCGCCCTCTGACTATGGCTTGGAGAACTACACAGCTGCTGAAGCTCACATGTAGGTTCCCAATTTCGGGCCCGGGAACCTTTTGGTCAACAGGGACTTCTCTTTCGCTTTCTTCACTCTCTTCATACAAAGCTGTGTGATGTTTAACATTTTTCACAAATAATCTCATGTCTACAATCACGGGCCCTATGACCCTTTCTCATGCAGTTAAAGCATCTAGAATATTTAATCAAAATTTGCTTACGTTCCTTAAGTTCCACCTTTTTGCAGTCCTGGTGTCTGTGGTTCCCCAGGCAGAAGGCGCAGCTGTCGACATCATTTCTCTTTACGTGTAAGGCATTTCCCGAACCAAGGCCGTTGTTTTTGCCGTTGAACCTCTTTCTTGGCTCTTCCTCTGGTCAACTATATTCTTCGCGCAACTCCACTTCCCCTTCCAACGCGGCCAACACATCGTTCATGCTCCATTCACCATGGGGTTTGTCTCTTGTGACAGTCAATCGCACAACTTCGGGGATCTTTTCTAAAATCGCTGGCACCACGATATCCGAGTATGAGGCCTCGTCCACCCCAAGGGCTTCCAATCCTCGATAGTGTGTCTCTATTTTGTCGATTAAATGTCTCAATCGTCCGTTGTCTCTTGTGCTGTAAACTGGTTGAACTCTTAGCAACTCCTGTATGCGTGCTCGTCTGATGAGCTTGTCTTTCCCGTACCGTTTGAGCCTATAATCCTATTACAATACCAATTCACATGAGTCTTATACACGCAATTACTGTAGTTATTTCATTGCCAATCACATGCATGCACACTTTTCAATCAATTTATCAGCATAGGCATACCGGACAGCGGGGCAGGGGGGCAATTTCGAGAATCAAGAAATTCGGGCAAAGTTCAGAGTTACTTGGATGGCTAAAATTTTTAAAACCAATTTCATGATATATATCACATCTGTGTATTCTATTTGGCCATTTTTGTTACACTTTCTTGAAAGCACATCCGCACATTGCAAAGTTTATTGTTACAAATCTGGTAAGTTAAAATTCGGGCACACTGTATATAATTATAAAATTCAGGCGATTTTTTTGCCCCCCAAACGAAGTTGCGCCCGTACGCCTATGTTTATCAAAACACATTTGCGCACAAAGGTGAAAGTTATACCAGGCCACGCTATTTTAATGCTTGCTATCTGTAAAGTAATCTGCAAATTCTGAAAGACAAATCTGTTCATGTGCACGTCGTACACATCAAGTCTAACTCTCATTGCATGGTCACATGTCGGTGAAAACGCTTTGTAGCGCTTTTATTTAAATATTTTAGTTGGAAAAATACAAACATAATCCATATTAATCTTGCAATTATTAAAAATGCTAGTTTTTTAGGCCCCCTTGTATGATCAGAAGATTTATACCGCGGATTCGAAAAAAAACAGCGTCCTATATCTAATCCACTTTATTCTTATAGCAAATAAGCTGCAACAAAATCAAATGAATTAAATTGAAATCACAGTTAGATTTGTTCAATTGGAGTGGTTCAAAATTGCGAATTGAAAATCCTGCGTGCTTGAACAATAGTGTATATAGTTTCTTATATAGAAAATTCAGAAGTTACTTTTTGTAGAAATTATACATCCAATACGCTGAGTATGATAAAATGTACCGGACGAATTCGAGCATAGTCCAAAATTCGTTCGGTCCCGTGTGAACGTAGCCTATATAAAACAGTTATGTATGTCCATAAAGGCGAATTTCCCTTCTTCGATCGCTTTCTTTTAGATCATGAAATGTGTTGAGTCGAGCTAGCTCATCTAATAGCATGAATGGGATCAGTTCGGTTCATTGTCTGTATTTCAAAGGTAAGCGATCGCAAAGAGTCGATCGCGCGACATTTTTCACTGAATGGAAATCGGCATTTATTGTGATAGTACTACGTTGAGTTACCAAACGGGCAAGCTAAAAAATAGCTTGACCAAGATTGGAAATCAAAACCGCGACTTTCGGTTTGCTAACCCAATAAGCGCTATTCCTCTGAGGCATTAGGTCAGGCCGTTTAATTAAATTAGTTACAGGAGCATTGCATATCGGACTTCGGATTCCCAACGTGGTGAAGCTAACTTTTTGCCGTGCTCAGTTGTATTACTCAGAGTAGCTTGGGATCAGCCTAGTATCCTATTACAATACCAATTCACACGAGTCTTACACACGCAATTACTGTAATTATTTCATTGCCAATCACATGCACACTTTTCAGTCAATTTATCAGAACACATTCGCGTACAAAGATGAAAGGTATACCAGGCCACGCTATTTTAATGCTTGCTATCTGTAAAGTAATCTGCAAATTCCGAAAGACAAATCTGATCATGTGCACGTCGTACAAAAATAAAAACATAATCAATAGTAATCTGGCAATTATTGAAAATGCTAGTTTTTAGGCCCCCTTGTATGATCAGAAGATTTATACCGCGGATTTAGAAAACTAAAAGCGTCCTGTAAGTAATCCACTTTATTCTTAAACACTTAGTTCTCCAGGTATTTTTAATCGCTCCCTATTGTGTATTCAACAGTACGTGACCTAGCCTCAATTTTAAATTTTTGTCGTTATCAACTTCTTTAGAAATTCATTGTTTAATTTAAACCGATTGGAAAACAAACATTGGCATAGTGGGAGTAAATATCAGACAAGCTGGCTAGGCTAGGTATTAAAGAAACACAAATAGCAAATAAGCTGCAACAAAATGAATTTAATTGAAATTACAGTTAGATTTGTTCAATTGAAGTTGCTCAAAATTGCTAAATGAAAATCTTGCGATCTTGAACAATGGGATAGTTCTCTTAGAAAATTCAGACGTTGCTATTTCTAGAAATTATACATTCAATATACGCTGAGTATAATAAAATTTTTCCTTTCATGTCTAATTAGTCTCTCTCATTGAAACAAAAATTCGATTTTAATTACTTTTTGCGCAACTTTGCATGTACAAACATACTAAATCATGCATGCTATTTTTAATGGGTGGATGGGTAGAAGCTATAAAAGATGGTAAAAGATAGATTTTCATCAGATTTCATTTTCTGCTTCTGTGTATACTTCTGCTGATTTCAGGACCTGAAGAACTTCCAAACAACGAGTAAGCGAAGTGTATAATCCAACTAAGATTCATTACGACAAATTCATAACGCTGTCATTTTAATTATAAACAGATTAAAATATGAAGCTGTTTTTGGCTTACTTGGTTGTATTGTTCGCATTGGTAAGTAAATTGGAGGTCCTTTACAAGTTCATATTTCAAATATTCCACGAAAGCATGGTAGCTAATTTGCTCATTGGAAAATTAACCAAATTATGCAGCAGGAAGGGAACGTTGTTTATAAAAACTCGTCTAAATATTATGAATATGAATGGTGGGTAAATGCATTGGTATGATAGGTCGGGCAATGCTGAAAAAGGTATCGTAATAATTTTAATTGTTTTCTCTTACCCTTGTTCCCTCCTCTACCGTGTTGATATTTCAGAAACTCGATACTGTATCCAGTATTTGAATTGCTTACATTTTCTACACAGGCCTTTGCTGATAAGTTGGAACTCAAACGGACTGCTGAGGTTTGGCTTTTCGCATATCTCTATTTTGTATTTTTCATTTTGCATTGCTGCAAAATTATATGTTTTTACACGTTAACTTGTGCTCAGACTGAGGATCGTAAAATTTTCATTTGTTCTTTCAGTCGGATGACAAGAACCGCTTTGAAGCTAAGGGCTTGGTGAGCAGCGATGAGATAAAAAAACGCGGTTACATCTGTGCGACTTCATGTAAGTTAGTGACAATAATCCCCAAAAATGATTTAATCCTACCTCTATAAAACCTTACGTCTAAATCTTCAATATACTTTAAGTCCCATCGTAGAATAAAAAAATCAGTGCAAACTACAAGATTTTGTCTATGAACTTGCCAATAAATTCCTTTTTCACATGCATTGATGACCAAATGAAACAACGCCATTTATCGCTTGAACTAGCCCAATTATATCAGTAAGTTGGCATTGTTTATATCCTCCGATTTTATGTACAGGTGAAAGTGGGCAAGTTACGTCAAAATATTGTACCACCGCTGCAAAGTATTGTTTCGGCAACGGACAGGTTGTTGATGTCAGATTCGGTACTGCATTTAAAGCACCACCAAAGGTGACTGTTGGCCTTACCCGTATCGACACACACAAAGATCAGAATGTTCGTGTACATGTTCAAGTGGAAAGCATAACAACTTCTGGATTCAACATAAGATTCAAGCCATGGGATTATTCTATTACCTATCAACTAGGCATCAACTGGATGGCCTGTCCTTGAAGACGATCAAAAGCAAGCTGCATGCATTAGTTAATCAACAAGGAAATTTAGTTTAGACTTTAAGGAATCAAGGCATTTTGTGTTTATGTATTTTTCGAGTGTAATTTGCAACGTTTATGGCGAATAAACCTGTTAACAAAATATACGCTGTTGGTTTTTTTCGAGAAATCCGCGCGCCTCTTCGAGGTGAGCGTTTTTTTCATTTTTGGGACAGGAAAGGGAAAGAAAAATACAAGTTCACAAGCGGAGAAATAAATCTTAAACCTGTATATCTCAATATTTTTGGCACAGGAATTACTGTGCTTTAAAGAACTTAAGGGGTTTGTCCGCTGTTTTCGGTGACTGTACATTTTTATATTTTTATAGTCTATTTCTATGTATTTTTCCATCTATATATGATCTATTCGTATATAGTCTATATACATTCCGTATATTCTGTATATTCTTTCTCTCTCTTTAAGTAAAATAAGAGAAAAATAATCTGAGGGGAAATATATATTTGCTTTTTCATATTAAATGATAAAAATTATTTCTAAGTCCCAGATCATAAACTTCTAACTGAGTACGATCCCTATGACACCCCTATGACAATCCGTAATAAACAACGTTTATAAACAAACGATGGGAAAATTGATGATTCCGGCTTTCCCCCCAACCCCCCCCCCCCCCCTTTAAGGTCTTATTTTGAACAACTCTGCATGATCTTCCTACATGAAGTTTACATGAAGTATTTTACCCACCTTACGCTTCGCAAGGATTTCTGGTATACATTTTCAAATTTAAATTTGCATTTTGGCCAAATATAAAAATAAATATTGTGATTGTTGTTCCATTTCGTGTTGCGGTATAGATAATGTGTTGACAAGAGGATAACTCGGTTTGTTTTACGGTTTACGTCGCCGTTAATGATGGCCAATTACAACGGGATAGTTAAATGTGGAAATATGGAATTAAAACTGCCCCGAAAACAACGGAAAGTTTTGAAAAAGGTATTAAACTAATGTTCAATATGGCGGCAAAATGCTTGTGTTATTTGTGCCAATAGAAACGAGTTTTGCCCTTTTTCTTTCAAACGATTTCGTGAATACGTATTTGGTGAAAATATTTTATCTATTGGGCTAACTGCTCCAACATTCATATATGTTCAATTTTGAAAAACACAATGTTAATAGCCATTGGCCACTTTGTTTATATTGCTACATAATATAGGGCTTTGCTATGTTTTGGCAGACGTTCAATTAGGCTTCTCTCTACTTTTTTTAATACATTTTTCAAGAGTAAGACTTTTCATACCTTTTTAATTAAAAGTCTGTTCAACACCAGGTATAACATCTGGGTCTGTAAAGGTCTGTATAACATCTCCCAAAGATAGAATATAATGAATCCCCATGTATTAGCAAGAACATCACATATATGGCTAGCCAACATGCTTTGTGATATATTGGGCTTGCCAGTACTCATTGTGATATGGTCTTTGTGCAAGATCCATAAGCCTTATAACTTATTGACTTAATCATGTCATTTAAAAGCTTGTCCTTCTCGATTTATAGAAAGCATTAATTAATTGATATTTGCAAGCTAGAAGGATATGTGAATGGTAAAATTGCCAAATTTTTATAGATAAAATAGACAGAATTAATTTTCTCTGTTATTTGTTTATACCAAGCAATACAGGGTGTCCCAAAAAAATGTCCCCTCTATTGAAATCAAGCCTTTGTTCGAATCTGATTGCCTTAATATTATGATAAACCCAATTGAAAGCAAGACGCTTTATTTGAATGCCTCAACCTAATAAATATGGTATTTACACACTACTGCGTTGATCATGCATTCAAATTCCAACAAAAGCTTCATTTCAATAGCGGGGACTTTTTTTGGGACACCCTGTATATAAATGTACTGTAATTGATAATTCAAGCCTATACTTGAGAACCATGCATTTCCAGGTTAATTACTAATTGTAACAATGTAATATATGTGCAACATACTGTATACGTCTACATATGGTCTACAAGAATCATTGGTTAATTTTTTCTCACCAAAGGCTTGGAAAAATAAATGGTTTGTTTTACGTCGTCAAACGGCGGGTGGAAGTCCAAGGCTGGAATGCTATCGTAGTGAGGTGGCTTGTCTCAGTGGTCAATGTAAAAGATGGATCTCACTCAAGGATATCACATCAGTAGCAGAAGGAAAATCATCAAGAACTCACACAAATATTTTTGAAATACTTGTGAATAAAAACAAATATGTTTTCTCGGTTGAATCGCTTACGGAGCGAGCTGAGTGGATCTCTATGATAAAGGACATAACATTGCTGAAACAAATGAAAGATATTCCAATTGCTTTGAAAGGAAATGAGTATGAAAATGAGTATGGTAGGTTTGTTTGAAGGGCATCTAGTTATTATTTATGGTTATAATGTACCTAAAAAATATTTAAAGTTCTAGGATTTTTGATGATGTTTGGCTTTTTAGTGAAAAGTGCAGTTGGGTGAAAATATCAACATATGGTGTTTACTATTTTTAGAACTATTTAAAGTAACAGTAATGAACACAAAGGATTCAGAGAGATTGCAAATAGTTGGTGATTATTATCTAAGTGTGGAGCCAAGGTTTTTATGTCTTCATGACATTGAAACTGGTGCTGTTACAACACAGTGGAATCTTCAGTATTTGCCAAGATTCAACTTGAGAAAAGTATCAAAACTGCAGGATCTTGATATGATTCTTGTTATCTGGGCATCAAGGTATGCAGGAATGTTAAGCCATTGGGATTGAAAATAAGATGGTTTTTAATGGTACTAAGAGGTTGTATAACAAGGTTGCTGTTTCTTACTAGACAAAGCAATGTTGATAAATTCTAGGCCCGAATGCAAGCACTTGATGCCTTTGAAACAAGTTGCACGTGTTTACCTGTGGCATTTACTACTTTTAAAATAGGCTATCATTAGATTGAAACGAGGAGTGAAATGTAAAATAATTACCAAACATCACATATTGTTTGCTATTTGTTTATGAACAACTTCTTGTTTTTTCATTTATCAGAGATTGCAAGAGCAGGCATGGTGAATATCACTTTCTGACACGTGAGGGAAAGGAGATTATGACTGCAATCAAGATGGAGACATGTCGCCTAGCAACGGAGAAAATAGAAATGTCTGACGAATCAGCTAGGTCTACATTACAAAATGATCAAACGGCTCATACAACTAATAAAGATGTAATCGAGCCGCAAATCTCATGATAGGCCTACTAAACTGGACTGCGTGGTTACCTTGTGGAACAAGGACCGATTTTTATGGAACCTTTTGATTTAACCACCTCCGCCCAAAATATGGTGAACTTCAGAGTTCAGCCGCATACCGTACGGTTGAGCCAAACAACATGTGCAAGTTTTTTCCTCAAGGGCTCAAATATCTTTTGAAATTTGAAAAGGCTAATTGCAAAACCGTATTGCAGATTAAAATTGCTTTTATAGAAACTGTCGCTCTTTCCGTTTGGTGTTTCACCCCCAAACTCAAAATGTCTTTTGGAATTAATGTTGTAGTGTTGCGCCGTTTAGTATTGTTAAAATATCGTTCATATTGTCCCAATTTCCGGCCAACATTTGTAGGGTTTTTTAAACAAATCACCATGGGCAATGCTCAAGTAATCCATCATACAAACACATTTTTTTAGACGTCTTTTTATAGCGTTGACAACGAAATCTAGTGCCAAAAAGTGTAGAAAACCACATTGGTTCAATCATCTTACGCCTGTGATGATGAAAAGAAAAATTTCTCTTCATATCTCACAATCTTCGATCCCGAGAAACTTGGGCAAGGCGAGGGGGAGAAATGCCTGTTTCTCATGCTTTGCCCCCAAGGCTCCAACGAAAGTTCGTTCTTAAGTTAAGAAAGGACGATTATTGGCCATTCAAAATTCGCTGGAATTTGCTCCCAAAAGCTCAGTGTTTGCTCCTCAATGATCCCAGGCTCCTAGCACCCGCGAAGCACATCGCTATTTTGCAGCGGTATTTCTTAGATCTGTGTCAGTACTTCATGTTATTGAGACTGTAGGCATGCGCAGTTTCTTCCTCTTCCCGTGTGCGTGGCTTTGAAACGACAAAGATTCACACATTGCACTATAAAAAATCATCAAAATGAGCGGCTCTGCAACGTTGGTTGGCGCTATTGTGAAATTCTACGATGAGTACAATCAAAAGACTCCACAGAAAACGAAATTGATCGACGCGTATCTCATGTATATAATGTTTACTGGCATTATTCAGTTTGGTTATTGTCTTCTTGTTGGCACGTTCCCTTTCAATTCATTCTTATCTGGCTTCATTTCGTGCGTGGGATCTTTTATTTTGGCTGGTAAGTCGATGAATATGTTCAAAATGTTTGTGGGTAATCCTATAAAGCTATATTATATTGTTTTCGTAAATATTACTCACTTTGTAGAGATTGAGCAGTAGCTCTGTACTGTTAAACATCAGACTGAGGCTTTTTAGTATGGACCGAGCAATGAAAGAATGAGGTTCTTGCAAAAAACATTGGTCTGATATTTCACCGTAAAGATGAAACAAGCAAGATCAATAATCTGAACATTTATTATATGGATGAACTGCATGAAACATCCAGAATACTGGTCTATACTGATACAAAATATATGGACCACAGTCCAGATATGGGGTTTTTCGGACCACTCATCAACCAATCCGAATAGAGGATCTTGAAAAGCCATATAATAATAGTATAATAATAATAGTCTCATGCAGTTAAAACATAGAAACTCATTTTTGACCTAGCTTGTTTGGTATGCTCTATGAAATATCAGTTCATACTAAAAAGCCTTGGTCTGATATTTCACAGTACAGACCTCATGCTCAGTCAATAATCAGTTATTATTATATGACTAGTGTTTGTTTTTGTAAATCCTGCAATTTGATTGGCTGCTGACGAGGCGGGATTTTCCCATATTGCCCACGAGCAATACGCTCAATTTTTATTGCCCTCGGGAAAAACAACAGCAATTCAAAATGAATTATTATTCGTGTTTATGGTTTTCCCAAATTAAGTCATATAATAAATAACTTACTGACTTTGATTGTTCGGTCTGTACGGTAAAATATCAAACCTCGGTCGTGCCGTATTGACCTCGCTATCGCTCGTACGTATTTTACCGTACAGACCTCACTCTCAGTCAGTAAGTTCTTATTATTTCATCTGAACTGTTCAATTTTATCAATTCAATCCTTGGCATATTATTATTATTATTTTTATTAATTAATTTTTTTAAAGGAATAAACACTTCAGTATGAGATAAACTACTTACTGCTATCAATGTGTGTCCTGTTAAAAAATAGCTTTATATAATAGCTTTAATAGAGTCCAAGGTGACAAGACAACCTTTATTTAGTTACCTCGTACATATAATTACCATTATATAATTTCTGGTATGTTTTCTAGTTTGCTTGAGAATTCAGACCAATCCTACCAATGGTCCAGACTTCAAAGGAATCAGTCCTGAGAGATCTTTTGCTGATTTTATTTTCGCAAGTGTTGTTCTTCACCTTGTAGTCATGAATTTTATTGGTTGATTGGTGTGGACAGTCACCAGCTATAGGTTGCAATAAGAAAAGCAAGTAAAATTACATAAAAATGTGAATAAATAATATTTCTATAACACATATTGGGTGCTGGATGTTCATTACTTACCACCTGGGTGTGATACTGAAGTTTTAGTTTATATAGAATATTAGGTAATTTCTGAATTGGCAGTTTTGAAAAGCATTTTCTTATTCATTAATGCGAGTCTTTTTAACATTTATAATCAATTATCCCTGAACAAAAACTCCAAAAATGGAGAAGCTCTAATAGACATTTCTCTTTTTAGCTTTCGAGCACGCAATGCTTGACGGTAGTTGATTATCAAGCAACTTTGAGTTGCGATATCGCTCTGCTGGAAAGCGATTTTGCCATTCTAAGAAAACCTTGCCGATCCTTTTTGCGTCTTTCTTAAACTAAATCGCTTCTGAACATGGCAAAATCACAACTCAAATTGACCTTGATAATCAAATACCGTCACGCATTGCGCGCTTGAAAGCTAAAAGGGGAATCAAAAGTTCACAAGAATCATTCTGGAATCGCAGCATGTGACAATCTTGACTAAGTGCATATTTATGCTATGGTGACAGATGAGTTAACGTTAGTTATGAGTTATATAACTTATCCATGATCTGGCGTTATCAAGTATTCTATACCTGATGTCGTTTCGAAAAGCCGTCTATAGCTTTGCCGTATGCAAAAGCGTTTTTCGAAGTCTATTTAGCGTTTTTTTGGGTATTACTTGACGAAAAGATGAGTTGGGGCAAGCATATTGAGAAAATTTGTAAAAAAAAGTAGGGGCTAGCTGGGAATAGCTGTTATGAAAATATGCAAATGATTTATAATGCTCTGATACAGCCATATTTTGATTACTGCTCTCCTTTATGGGGAAACAGCTATGGAGCTTTAAAGACAAGCTTCAAAATCGCGCGGCTAGGATAATTGCCGGGGGGAATTATGAAGTCGATTCGGCTGACGTTCTTGCATAGGTAATTTCTGAATTGGCAGTTTTGAAAAGCATTTTGCTTGGAAGCGATTTTGTTTGTAAGAAAACGTTGCCGATTATTTTTGCTTTTTTTCTTAAACTAAATCGCTTCTGAACATGGCGAAATTACAACTCAAATTGACCTTGATAATCAACTGCCGTCATGCATTGCGCGCTTGAAAGCTAAAAGGGGAGTCAGAAGTTCAGAAGAATCATTCTGGAATCACAGCATGTGACAATCTTGACTAAGTGCATATTTATGCTATGGTCACAGATGAGTTAACGTGAGTTATGTTAAAAAAAGTAGGGGCTGGGAATAGCTGTTATGAAAATATGCAAATGATTGTAATGCTCTGATACAGCCATATTTTGATCGCTACTCTGCTTTATGGGGAAACAGCTATGTGGAGCTTTAAAAGACAATTAAGCTTCAAAAATGTCAAAATCGCGCGGCTAGGATAATTGCCGGGGCAAATTATGAAGTAAATTCGGCTGACGTTCTTGCATCTCTCGGGTGGTTAACGTTAGGGTAAAGACGAATAAGTAATCAATCCATATTAATGTATAGAATTTCAGCCTCGAAATCCAGGCGTTTTAATCGTAAAAAAATAATGTAGCAATATGATAAAGCCGACTTATTTTGTGGCTTTAATGCAATCGAAATTCACATTCGTTGAGAAGCAGCGCTTAAAATGCTGTTGAGTTTTGTGAGCTCGAAGAATTTTATCGTCGTTTTACATTCACTAAAGCAATATTGTATCTCTAAAATCTGATGCTTAACAATTTCAATCCGCATAAATTTCACTGTGGATGGGTGGGGCTTTAGAAAAGCAAGATCAAAGACCTTTTTAAAAGAATACAATAAATTGTTTAACCATCTCCTGTTGCGAATAATTAGTTAAAGTTATCTTTCAATACGTATTCGTTGCCATTCGCCTCTTCACTTGGAATTCGCGTTGAGAAGCAACTCTTAAAATGCTGTTGAGTTTTTTGTGAGCAGGCGAAGAATGGACTTCACAATTTTATGGTCGTTTTACATTTACTACAGCAGTATTGTATCTCTAAAATCTGATGCTTAACAATTTCAATCTGCATACCTTTTACTGTGGATGGGTTGATGCTTTCGATAAGCAAGATCAAAGAACTTTTTAAAAGAATACAATAAATGTTTAACCATCCCCTGTTGCGAATAATTAGTTAAGGTTATCTCTCAATACGTATTCGTTGCCATTCGCCTGTTCGCTTGGAATTTGCCTTTGTGAATAACTAAAGAGGGTGTGTGAAGAATCTTCCTGAAGTTGACTGTGAATTGAGAAAGAAAAATAAGAGAGAAAGATATATATTGCTATCCTAGAATCAATCTGGAATCACAGCATGTGACAATCTTGACTAAGTGCATGCGTTATATAACTTATCCATGATCTGGCGCTATCAAGTATTCTACACCCGATGTCGTTTCGAAAAGCCGTCTATAGCTTTGCCGTATGTCAAAGAGCGTTTTCGAAGTCTATTTAAGAATGTAGAAATATTTTCCGTTCTCGTACTCCAAGGTTAGTATCGATTTTTTTAACAAATGTTTGCATTTACTTAAGAGTACTGTTGATTCTGCTACATCATGGCTCTTTTCTTATTATATGTTTCCGTTTGTGAAAATAGCGTTTTATGTAGTAATGCTGATCTACTAGGCGCTGCTGTATCCACAGAGAGAATACGAGCTATGTTTTAAGCCATCATCACTCTTAGAGCTTATATAGTTACAATTTCGGTAAGACATGAATTAGATGTGGCGATTGATATTTTAAGCGAATGGACCATTCCGCAATTGAAATAAGTGTGAACTGACTAGAAAAATTCATCAGTGCAGCTGAAAGAACATCCCACAATAAGCACAATTGGAAAGTTTTG